ATTGTAAGTAAATTTTCTTTCGTCCCGAAACGACCAAAAAAAGGCAGAAGGTAGTCTAGTGGAGCAGACTACTTCCTAATGGTGTCCCTTTCTGTGTCAAGAAGAAAGGCACCCCGTTACTTTGAGTGCTAAATTATGGTTAATTTTGTATTGTCAAAATGAGTAAATTTTTATTTGTAAGTAAAAAAATAAAAAAGCTCACTATGCACATCTCTAAAATGCTTATTCTACCGGACGGTTAACATCAAATTTCTAGTTTTCTCAATTCCAGGAGAATGCTTTGCTCTTTATTTTAATTAATTCTTTTTTTCCCAATATATTATTTATTTGGTCAAGGCAACATTTTTTCAAGATTCTACTTTATTTTACCGAGTCCATAAAAGAGCCGTGGGTTGACCATACTCATATCATTAATTTTAGTTGAATAAACCTATTCAGCTACACACAATTTTATGAAGAAAATCAAATAAAAATTAATAAAAGCGAACAAAAAGAATTATAATAAAGTCATAATTATAGTTATGGAAGCGTGGACTTTTGATTTTTGTGAAAGAGTTGACAAATATGTGTGTATATTTCCCCTAGTAACAAAAATTTAGATAACAAGAAATTCGATGAATGATTCTTAGCGAGCCCAAAAGAAGCGATATTCCTTTCTTTTATGGAGTCCTACTAGACTGAAGATCTTGTGCCACCGTTCAGATATATCAACTCAATAAATAAAGAAGCATCAAGCGTGACGACGTGATTTTATTGCTATTATAATATTGAAATATTGTATTTATTTTTATCTTTTGTTAATGTTTTGAAAAAAAAGTCTTTATCTTCTTTACCTTCAACCCTTATTCCTATCGCCTTCCTATTCTCTCATGTGTTCCCCGATAGAGATTTCTCAATCAATAGATTAGAGGCAAGGAAGGGGGAGACTTGGGGCAAGGAAAGGGATAGCATGGAGATGAAGAGAGGATAGGGATGTGGAAGAAAATGGATTGATAGAGAAAAATGTGGTTTGTAATAAAAGTAAATTAGACATTCCTTATTAAAGAAAATTGACCAAGAAAAATTGTTTTTTTAAGTGAGTTATATAATAAGGAGAACAACTTTAAATTTAGAAAGTAAATTTTTTTCTACACTCCAATAATACTTTATATTTTGACTCTTTATTTTTGCTTCTTTTTTTTTTCAATAAATATTTATTGATTTCTCTTCATATTTTATTTAATATATATTTTATCTTAATAGTCAGTCAATTTAAATATTATTTAAATAATTTAAAAAGTAGATTATTAAAATATGTAACTTATTAAATGCAATTATTATGAAGTGGGAATAGAGAATGAGTTTGACTTCTAAATTTGTAGAATCAAACTCCTTATCTATTTTATAAAGTTAAAAATAGTTTATTTGAACTTTTATTTTTAAGCATTACCTATTTAAAATAGCCGGCGTTTTTAATTTAGATAGTTTTGAATTTCATGTGATCATAATGAAATCAAACAACATTATGGTAATTTAATGTTGTATTAGATGAGGTTCAAACAACTAAAGGGTTTTAGGTAAAATTTTAAAGGGGTCTTTCGAGGATTAATCATAAGAAGAATTTAAATAGAAGAAAAGATCACCGACAAAGTCACTGGTGTCATCGACAAAAATCAAAATTTGACCATAGTTCGAACAAAATTAGTGCTAACAATACATTAGCCATCACTGGCTCACTTTTCAGCGATTATCAATAATAATGTCGTCCAGAAAATCATCAGTAATCACCAACTGGGTTTTAATCGTTGATCGTCATGGCCATTGAAATTAATGAGAGACATTTCTAATATGTATATGTATATGCCTATGTTTTTGCTTTTCTAAGTGCACCTCACTATCCATTCCCGAATTCATCGCCCATGGAAGTCCAAATGTTGGCCAAAGTGATCCATCTACCGATGTTGAGTTCCAAAATCATACACACTAAACCATGTCTTGGGAAATGTGTGACAGAATTTGATCACATGTTCTTCATAATTTGTTCAAATATTCCCCGAGTACAGGGAATATTTACAGAATTTGTGCAGGATGCGGCAGCATCCTGTGCATTTGTGTGTGTGTTTTGTTTTCAATTTTGAATTTACGTTGTTGATTTCAAATTTCTGTACTAATTCTGTAAAAGGTTTATGTACTTGTAGATTAACTCTAATTTGTTTCACTCGGGTTAGCATTGAATCTTAATTTGTCTTTATTTATTAGTGGATTAGTGGATATCACCCTGTGATCTTCACGAAAGTGTCCACGTACATGATTTAGTAAAATTTCAACTATTGACTAATGGAAATTTAATGATGTAAGAGGATAATGTACTTTCATAATAATTAGGCTCAAAATATTGAAAAGGGTGTGAATTTCATATGAAAAGTTTGTGTTTTACAAGTCTGGGATCTTAGGCAAAATCTTTAAATAAACATTTTAAAAAATAATCAGAAAAAAGAGTTCAATGAAATAAATGGACACCATTAAATCGCTAGTAGCACTCAACATAATCAATATTTGTTGGTAATTCAGATATAATTACCGACAATATTGTTCATTAATGCGTGATCGGTAATAGAGTTTGGTGGTGTGTTCTTCATAATTTCTTTTTTGGCCGTCGCTCGCATCTTCATTTCTATCATTATTTATCGATGAGTTTGCACAAACCACCATGTGTCTTCACAAAAGTGTTCGCGTACCATTTGTTATGACAATTTAATGATGTGAAAGGATCAAAACTATTGAAAAAAATTTAAATTTTATGTAATCATAATTATTAAGTCGAAAAATATTATTATAATTTGAGGGCCTTAAGCAAAATCTTTAAAGGGGTATTTCAAAATACGATCATACGAAGAAATGAACACCGACAAAATCATTAATATTACTTGACAAAAATCAATATATTTCGATAATTCAAACAAAAATAGCAAAAATAATACTATAAGTAATCACTGTTGCGAGTGACAAAGTATAGCCTCTTCGTAATTTGTTTTCATCTTCATTTGTGTTTTTATTAATTATTGGTGAATTTATTGTACTTTCGTCGAAATTAAGGTCAAAGTTGTTGAAAAAAATTCAAATTTCACGTAAGTAAGAAAAATAATAAGAAATGAACACCGACAAAACCACTGTTAGTATTTGAAAAAATTATCGATACCAATATTATCAATTCAAATCACCGACAACAATATTATCAACGATCATTGATGCTCACTTGTCAAAGATTATCGATAACATTGTTTGTGATTTTGTCGACAATTATTAACGAAGGATGATTTGCTCTTGTTTAATTTTGATTATTTGAAAATCATTTCTCTTCCATGCTCATTTCCAACAACGCATTTTACAATTAAAAAAATTATTTTCACATTCTTCCAAACTATTTTTTTAGATTTTTTAATCACATATGTGCTAAAAAAAATTTATTAAGCAAGGACTTAATTATTCTTCATTTTCTCTTTATTTTTTAATATTTCATCACTTACTTAGGATTTCTCTTGTATCTTACTTATAACGTTACAACTATTAACTTTATCGAAATGAAATTTTGTTCATTTATATTTTAATTACTTTAATTTATAGACGAAATTTTCTCGAGTAAATTAAATTAATTGAAATATTATTTTCCAATTTTAATAAAAAAATTCTCTCTAATATTAGATAATTTTATCTACCTATTTTTCAAAGTAATATTCTCATATTTTTTAAATCTTTATTATTTTAATTAACAAAGAAAATTATATAGGTAAACTAAATTTACTAAGATAAGTTTTAATTCATTATCAATGACAAAGAATTCCATTAAAAAAGGTACTATGTATGACCGACTCGTTTGTCTAGACGTAAAGTAAACTCTCTGTGTTTATGCGGTAGTCATCTCCTACATTCCTCATATTTATGTCAGTGAAGATTTGGTTTTGTGGATTTTGTTACATATGTGGGCTCGATGATCATCATTTTCAAAAAAAAAAAGAAAAATAAAAAATAAAAATAATATTTTGAATAGTGATTTTTTTTTTTAAAAAAAAAATTTGTAGTTAAAAGGTAAAGTAAAATTTTAAATTTACGTGTAAAATATTTTATTACGTAACGTGTGATAAAATATAAGTACAAAAATTAAAGAATTTTAGAATAATGATTGTCAAATAGGGCTTAGCCCCCGTTTGTTAAAAATTTAATTTTTAGATTTTAATTTAAGCCAAAATCGACAATTAATTTCATGTCTCATCAACTTTTATCAAAATCTACTGAAAATCTACTTTTATTGTGGCCATTGAAATGAGTTTACTTTATTTTTTAGATGAAAGCCGTGAAAGCCTAAACGCGCCCTGTTAAAAACGTAACGACGATAATAAAACTCGTGGTTTTCATTCTATACATAATTATTCATGAATATTGAAGATCGTCAAAGATAAACTCCGTCTCGAAGTTCAAAACCGACATTAAAAGCCACAAAGGGCAAAAGATAGATAGATAGATACGATTCTGGCATCATCATCATCGTCCTCAGTCAAACGGTGTGAATTTGCCTACTAGTCTCTTCTTGATTCTTCTTTTGCATCTTACCTTCCACAATAAAGCAATTTCTTTAGCAGGATTTTGTTAAGCTTGTCGATTTTTACTGCTCAAAGGTGATCCTGGTGTGTGTGTGTCTATATATATATATATAGAGAGAGAGAGAGAGAGAGAGAGAGAGAGAGAGAGAACTGTTACATTGAACAAGCTACAAGTTTGATGTGCTATACAAAGGTGGATGTACAGGTTGATCTTGAAGCTATATATATATGGAATTTGGGGTCTTGTTGATTTGATTTGTCGGGTACAGTTTCTTAATATTAAAGGTGGCTAATCCGGGATCCAGCGGCGAGTTTATCAGAGTTCCAGCGGCATCAGGCAGTAGAGAACCCACCACCTCCCCCACCTCCACCAGCTTTGCCAACACAACTCAGCCTTATCAACAAATACAAACATGGGAAAGCATGCAATCACAGCTACAACAAGAACAAGGGAACTTTCTACTATCTGGGGCGGGGGAACCAATGTTTTCATTATACAATCAGACGGGAGAGATGCCGGCAATGGTGCCAACGCTAACGCAGGCCGTCCCGGGACAGACTTACAGAGAGTGGAGCTTTAGGCCTGATCCAAGTGGTGCCGGTGGCTCTGGAAATACTCAGTATTCGCCTTCATCGCCTTATTCTTCATCGAGTTCGGGATCTTTGGCTGGACAGAAGAGAACGCGAGATCAAGATTATAGTGTTACTCAGTTTCCAGAGCAAGTCCAGAGGATCTATGGCGGGTTTGGAGAATCATCATTCTCTGTCAAAACTGGTTAGTTTCGATAATTGAAAACTGATTTATCCTTAAAAACTTTTCAATTTCATGGTTGATGATGTTCAAAAATTGACATCACGGACCCGAGTCGAGACTTTAGGTTGGTGCTCGAGTTCCTCAATCCGCACCCCTACTATTAGTATCGGAGGTATTTCAAGACACTTTGACGATGAAGGTAGTAAAAATGAAAGACCAAATTCCATGTGAAATAATACTGAAACGACATACTTTTGTCCACAATCGGGCAATTACTCGCCAAAAATGAGACAAATTCTATCAGTTGGAAATTAGGCGTCGCTAATAGCACGTTTTCAAGTAGTAATTCAAGTTAAGCATTTTAATCACTTGTTCATTTTTTTTATTTGGTCCCAGAGGAAGCAGAAGCAGGCGGCACAAGCGTTACACCAATCCCCACCACCACCGTGGAACACCAGATACCGCCGCCGCCACCAGAAATCTCAACAGAAGAACAGGTAGAAAGAAGAAGAAAATATAGAGGGGTAAGGCAGAGGCCGTGGGGCAAATGGGCAGCAGAAATAAGGGATCCACACAAAGCTGCAAGAGTATGGCTAGGCACATTTGAAACTGCTGAAGCAGCCGCTAGAGCATATGATGAAGCTGCAATCAGATTCAGAGGTAACAAAGCCAAACTAAATTTCCCTGGAACTGTCAGAAACTTGCCACCACCACCACCACCACCAACACTACCACCACTCCCACAAACCACCACCCTAGCGGCGGCGGCGCCGCCACCACCACCACCACAAGCAGCATTATTCCAAAACCAACCTTTTCAAATATCCGAAACTGCAAGGGACTACTGGGAATACTCACAGTTACTTCAGAACACTGCTGATTTTCAACAACAGCAGCCCACGAGCTTATTAGAACAAATGTTTTATGCCTCATCAATGGCGGCTGCTGCTTCATATCCTCTGCAGTCCCCCAATCAACAACAAGCAATTAATTCACAGACACAAGGAAATCAAACTCAAGAAAACACACCAACTTATCCTGCACCACCATGGACCAGCTCAACCCACTATCCTTCATCTTCTAGCTAATTTTTTTTTACTTCTTTTCTTTTTTCCTCTGTTTTGGAGAGGGGATAATTTAATCGTCACTAATTTTGTTTAAGGTTCTATTTTCTCATCGATTTTTAAGAAGTTACTCATTATTCGCTAAACTTTGCAATAGGTTACTACTTTCTTGTTGAAAATTAAAAGATTACTTGTAATTCACCTAAATTTGGAACTTTGCATTGGTAATTGATGGGTTACTTTGTTTAAATTTGAGTGAGGAATGAGTAACTTTTTAAATTTCGATGAGCAATTGTTAATCTATAACAAAGTTTAGTGAGCTTCAGTGATCATTGATTAAATTATCTCGATTTATGCTTATTCCTGTTTATCGTAGTTAAAACTTAGATTTTTAGTAAATTTTGATAAAAAAATTAGTGGAATATATAGTTGTAACATTGATAATATTGTAAGTCTCGTCGTTAGATTGATTTTGATTTAAATTTTTATCAAATTTTAAAGTACACCAAACAGAGATTTAATGATATTTTTATTTTTAGAAATATATGAAGATTAAAGGTAAGTACAAAGCGTCGGTTGTAGGTTTGTAGATGATATTTGTATGTTAATTTTGTAAGCGAAAATGATCCAACTTGTCAGCTGTCCCTTTTTTTTTGTTTTCAAGTTGCATTTTAATTCAAAAGTTTCAACTTATTTTGGCCAATGATTTCAATTCAATATTCGTTTGATTACCGACAATTGCACGCGTGGTGGTGAAATTTTACTTTTTTAATAAATAAAATAATTGAAGTTGTAATTTTATTCATTATCACTCAGTTCTTGTCTATTATCTAATTTTTTTTTTTCCAAATTTATTTTCAATTATATATTTTTTTAATAAAATAATTTTACACGTACATAATAAAAAAAAATTCTTACTTTTTAACCACACATTCTTAAAAAATCATGCATAGTTCGATTTTATAATATCGTTTTCGAATGAGACATTGTTAAAAAGTATCCATACTCGCTATATGTCCTTTATATAGACACGTTTCCTTCGTTTACGTGCCCCCAACCAAGTAGCTTTCCAGCGGATGGAATTGAAATAAACATTATGTTAAAATTTTGTCCATAATTGCAGGGTCGGTTAGCTAAAAATGGGACAAGGATTTTAATGTATAGTTTGATTGTGACCTACGAGAGTGAAAGTTTGATGTAATCATATGGACATATCGTGACATATATTTTGTTAGGTTAGTATATATCGAACTATGTTAAAAAAACTTTTATTTTATTTAGAAATCACTCAAAAGGGAGCCAAAATATCTTGGAATAGGAAGTCTCATTTTTGTCTACTAATGAGTTTTACATGAAGATAGTGCTTTGATTGATATGCAATAATTAATAAGAGATCCATGCTTGCAGTAGGGTAATCTCCTTGGATAAGACATATATTAGATATTAGGATTGAACAACAAAATCGTCAATTCACAAAATCGAATCAAAATCGCTTTTTTTGATATTGTTAATTTAGGTCCATGTTGATCCGTTAATATTTTGATTTTGAATCGAATCAAACCGCTTTGAAAGGATTTCATTTGGGTTTCAATTTTTGTTAACTACTGTCAAACCGTTTAATAAGAACCTGAAAATAAATTTTTAAAATTTTATACAATCCAATTAAATCGAAAAAAATAGTTTAATTTGGTTTGATTTAGTTTAGAAAGTAAGCGTGCATTTGATTGGTTGTTTTCAGTCTTACAAAATATCCAAAATTTGTTTGGTGTGGTATTTTCGAAAATGGTAATTAACACATAACGTTCTTACCTTTCATTGTTATTGTGAAAAACGTCCATACCTTTTATTTTTTTGGCATTTTCACCCATATTTTCACATTTCATTGCGCAAAATATCATTTCATCCATTTTATCAATTAAAAATTGTGAAATGATGAAAATACCCATTCCTTTAAATAAAATAAAAGAAAAAATTAATTGCAGTCATAGTCCCAATTTTTTTGAAAAGAGCAAATGAGTCCCAAATAAATTATTAAAAATGTAATTAGTACACAATATCCATATCTTTCACATTTATTGCGAAAAAGTCTATACCTCTCATCACTTAAAAATAAAAAAAATATATATTTTTAATTTATAATTCTTTTAATAATTTATTTGGGATTCGTTTGCACTTTTTAATTTTTTAAAATTTTAAATAAATTTAATTGGAGCTCGTTTGCACTTTTTAAAAAAAAATTGGGACTATGATTGCAATTAATTCTTTAATTTTTTTAAAAATTTAAATAGTAGGGTATATTCGTTATCTAGAGGTGTCAATGGGCAAAGTCGAGCCGGCTCGGCCCATACCCTCGCACGAGCCGAGCTCGTGGCTCGTTGCCAACGAGCCGAGTTGGTTTTTGGGCGAACTTGGCTCGTGCCCGAGCTCACCTAAAACGAGCCGCTCTGCTCGCCGGCTCGTCATTTTTTTTTAAACACTACTATAACTAAACCTTAAATTCAAAAAATATATATATACACATTTTCTATTTTTTTTAAATACACATTTTCCAAAACATTTATAATTTTTAAAATAATAAGAACAAAATTTTATTTGTTGAGTTTTGTTTTTTGTTTACCCAATCACCCTTTTATAATATATTAAACCTAATATATACACACACACACACACATTTTGTAAACAATTTTTTTAAATATATATTTCTTCAAACATTTTTATTTAAAAAAAAAGATACCCTTCTCCTTTTATCCACGCTTGTGACCGGCTGCTTCAATTTCGAGTAGGTGAAATTAAAATTGTATACGAACAACTTGTTACGTGTACAATTTTTTTTAATAAAATTATAAAGGTATGAAAATAAAATTTTGTAATGAATGCAGTGAAATTAAATATCACTTACTTGATTACATGCAATTTCGACATATTTATGTTGAATTCGATAATTAG